AGTAGGCTAATAAAGCAAGATATATACTCGGAACAAAAGTATGCTACACAACTATGCTATTTTTTAATATTAACATGATCGGATAGTGAAACTAGAATGGTAACACATTATTTCCAATTAGAGTAATATCACTTGATATTATTAAAAGTGTAATCGACATAAACACATCTTATTCAGTACAGTATACTAATTCTATTTGCTTAATCATAAACAAATTGAAATCATTGATGTACTTAAGAATTGTTTCAAAGAAACAATAATTAAGAAGAACTTTTTAATACATCAGATTTGAGTAACCTTATAATAGATAGTCGTCGAATTCACAGAGGATGATGGTTAGGATTTCGTCTTGAGATTCGAAATCTAATTTTGCACAAGCATTCGAATTCACCCTAGGAAGAATGTCAAATAGCTTGTGTTAGGTTCACTATAATTTCAATAGTAATGTTAGGATAGTCGGAAAATATACCAATAATTATCGTGTTAAATCTACGGTGGCCTTGAACCTTAAATGTACATTTCTTATTGGTCGATGTTTATTTCACTTGTTAAATATTTTGTAAATGTTGTTTCCTATTTTATGGTACGATGTGGTATGCTTGATTGGTATATAAACAAAGTATGTTTGAAATATAATGATTCATAACTCAGAGGCTGTGACTTGTGCTCCTGACTCAACTGGCTGGGACAGACTGCGAAGCGGACCAATCAGGGCACTAGGTCGTTCATACGTGTTTTCCGTGTCACTGTAATCGATCGGTCGATAAATACGCTGCTTATCAAAACCTGCAGTCACACACGTTACAACAAGTAAATTAGTGTCAGATAGAATTTCTATGTGTCGATTGATCTAAATGTTAACTGAAACGGTAAGCAACCAACAATATTCAGGATTTCAGCAGGTCCGATTTCTATTGGCTATATCAAATTGCATGAACTAGTATCTTCTAATGTCGTAAATTTGGAGTATTTGTTAAAACTATCTAAAAGTCCGTGACCCCTAAATTGACTTAACTTTGTAAAGGTATAGACGTAAGTCTTATTAAACGAAACTATAATTTAATTCAAAGAGAATGTTCATCATATTGTTTAATTATTTTACTATCTATAGTCACCTAATATTCTATATTTTTCTTCAACGAAAAATTTGTTCATCTGAGTAAAAAGTACTTACTCGATTTTAGACCATTTTCAAAAGAATATGAATTAGTCTCAACAAGCTAGACTTTTACAAGATTGAAACCAACAATTTATACAATACTGTATTTGACCATCAGAACCACTCAGTTGTGTGGTTCTTCTAATAAGCTACTTATTGTCACTTAGTTGGAAATAGTCTGAAAATGTTTGCATGTTATCTAGCCTTAAATTCGTAAATTTAATACATATCAAAATTCACTAACCAATTGCTTGTACAGAAAATTTTGCCTGAGTGGAATGTGGAATTTTCATGCATTACACGGAACTGTATAAAGTGTACACAGTCCTCGAATGAATGAACTATGATGTTCTTAACAATTGTATATAATTTAATATTTTCATGCATAGACAATATATCAAAAATGTGCTCTATGAAGATTTGTTCCTATGCGAAGACGACCTTTACCAGTGAGAGTTGTGAATGTGTTTTACTTGTAGTTTGATACTTCTTAGGAAGGCTCATCTACAACTTCATATGGAATAAAGTCTAGGAGCCTCGGATCTCGTATCCAGCAGGAAAAAGGTAAAGTAGCTTAAAAACATTTGAAAATCAGGAGCACAAGACAGCATTAGGCTCATATTCTTCCACCTGTAAGTAAATTTGAAAGACACTCCATGACCCTTAAACTTGACATTTAAATATATAAAAAAAACTCAGGTTTTACTTATTTCTTCACTAAGCTTAGTAATAATCTCTGATTATTGAAATATGTAATATCAGTAAAATGTGTTGCTTACTATGATAGTAAAGTAAACAAACTGACGACGTCCAAAAATAACTCAGTCTCCTCACCTGATGTAACTAGAAATTGTCATCATGAAATCAGTAGATTTGATTTTTACTTTCCGATTACAAAATACAGTTGTCTACATTTTTTCTATTCTTGAAAACCATGTCTCTTGATTCTCGACACTAGTCAATAAGGGTTATCAGTACCCATGGGTAATATCATGCTCCTACATTATCTTGAACACCACAGATTGTTGACAAGTTATAAATTAAACGAAACCTATTTATTCTTTTAACTTTCT